GTGAAGCCGTGGAAGAAGGGAGGGGAGGGGGCAGGTGTCCTAAGGTTTAGTCCAGTCTGTTCCTGAGGGAAATCTGATTTGATTGGTAATAAATTTTTTTTTTTTTTTCCCAAATCAAGTCTGTTTTGCCCATGACAGTAATTGCTGAGTGATCTCTCCCTGTCCTTATCCCAGCCCATGAGCCTTTTGTTATATTTTCTCGCCCCTGTTCAGCTGAGGAGGGGAGTGACAGAGCAGCTGTGGTTGGCACCTGGCATCCAGGGTCAAGCCATCCCAGTCTTAGAAGACAGGTAAACAACAGGCACCCAGTATGAATCAGAAAATTGAAATGAGCACTCAGGACCTTGAGGGGAGTGTAGTTTGCAAGGCCAGCAGTACTGTACCAGCAACACCACATAAAGCCAAGATGACCTACATAACAGTACCAAGACTGGTATTTCTGATAGGCATATGGGGACAAATAGGGATAAAGTAATTACAGGCTGGTTTACTTAGTAGGAGACATGAATGAAGGCAGGTACAAAGGCAGCGAAAAAGAGAGTCAAGGAATGGTAAAAGAAATAATAGATGGTAGGATTTTCTGACAGTGAAAGTGTAGATGCTGACAACAGTAGTAAGTTGATCTGTGGACACTGGAGGGAAGTCATATGTACAACCTACCAGACTTTCCACTAGGTCCATGTCTGAAAGAATCAGTGTGAGAGGGTAAGGCATGATATAACTCTAACTTAACAGAATGAAGTCACAGAATTGTAACTTAGTAATAAAAGTGCATACTAAATTAATAGCATAGTCTTCTCTATCCGTTACATCTCACACCTGAACTTTAAAGGAGCCTGTGACAACAGTCTTCCTGTGACAGATGCAGCTGGTCTGACTGGTGTTGCACTCCAGAAGTGAGGGAAGAGAGGATGCTGCAGTATAGCCTTAAGCTATGAAGGTCAGTGCTAGTTAATTCAACCTCACTAAGAAACCTCCTGAAAGGTATCTACTCTAGTTAAGCTGTACTATAACAATGCGTTATTTACATGAGAATGCTTACATAATATGAAGATCCGAAGTTTCCACTAGAAACAATAAGAAGTAAATGAAAAAGAGATTAGGATTAAGTATCCTTCAGATTGTTGATGTTTCACTTAAGAATATCCCATTGTTCATTATATGTAGGATGCAGGTTCATCCAAGAACAGACATTTTATACGACTCACCCACATATCAAATGCTGCTGTTAAGAGTCTTAAGAGCCATCTCCCATTCTGTCAATAACTGTCACTCCCTCACAAAGGTAAGATTTAAGATCATATGGCATGTTTCTCTAGCTTTGTGAATGTACTTTACAATCAAAAAAGACACCGCATGCTGCTTCAATAAGCTACTCATCCATATTGAATACATTCAGCATCTATTTGCAGTTACAATTTAATGAATATTCATTGGTACCACATGTATGGTACCACACTATGCGGCATGCTAACAGCTAGTCAGTGTAACAAAACATCAACCACAAAATATCTGCAGTCCAAAACTACAGAAAATCATTTTTAATAAGATGTAACGAGAAGATGAAATATTTCTCTCCCTTAAGTAGGACCTGACTTTAGAAAGTGTGACTGACACCTTGGAAGCAATTACAACCTTGGCCAAAAAAATTAAGAGAACAGAAAACACCAAACTTTGCAGCAAGGTTTTCAGCGTGGGCAGAATCTGTTACAACCTATGCTATGTAGCCTGGTACGCAATGTTTCTACACTTCTCAAGGAGGGGCCATGAACCCACCTCATGCCCAATATACTTTGATTTGAATGAAAAACAGTGTATTACATCACGTGCATCAAATGACCAGAATGTAGACGAATGACTGAGTGCATCTTTGCAATGACTAACTACACTCAAATGCTTCAGTCCAGTCCTATGCACATGCAACCACATATTAGCAATCACTCACGTACCCAACAGGTACCTAGCAGGTACCTGGGAAAGCAGTAGGCAAGGACTAGGCCACACAACAGCCTACAGCTGGGTCCATCCAAGACAGCTATGGCAGTGCTGTACATTTGTAAAAAATGATGGTGTAAAAAACCCACTGATGAAGGTTTGTATATGAATATGATGATGTACATTGTACATATAAAAAAAATGGAAGAGTAAAGGGTCCCTGCAGTATTTTTAGGCATTGAAACCCTCAGCATCAATCCAGGAGCAAGGAAGATCATGTTTTAACTCATGTGATTTAATGCAAAAAAAATAATCAAAGAAATACAAGGCTAATTAAAAAAAAAGGTAGGAAAAAAGGCATCTCCATGGCTTACCTTGCCAGTGATGTTTGTAATCGCACATACGTGACAGGGCAATCATCATGGCACAGTAGAGCGGGAGAATTGCTGCACAAAGCCGCCAGCTCTTCCCCCGGCCATTTTCCGTGAAGCAGTGTAATTTTCCAGCTAAGTAGAAGGTGGTAAAGCCAAGGCCTGAAAATGCAACTGATAAAGAAAAACACATAATTACAGTGTTTTGTCATTAACGCTGTACAATACTATCCCTTAAGATCCTTTAAGATCCAACAGCAGGATCCTTCTACTGCAGAGAAGTCTTGGACTTTCTAGGGTGATATTAGGAGCTAAGGTAAGTTGAGAAGACCCATCTGCAGAAAATTGAAGGAGTTTCATAATCTGAACGGTGATTCTGATGTAACCATATAAATGACACGGTTACAACTTAGTATTTTATAAGTATGAAGCAAATTGCCTAGGTAGAGCGTTTTCTTTGTTTGTTCTGTTTTGTTTTTCTTTTAATAAAGCAATCATGATCTTACAAACTTAAAAAAACCCCACAGTTATTTGGAGGCTGAATGGGAAAAGTTAGACTCCCACAAGATCCGTGACATACACATATTCTCCGCAGCAGGGGTGTTATCTATGTCGCAGTGCAAGCAATCAGGCAACTGAACACTGCAAAGCAAATCAACTTCCCTCTCACAGATACTCAGCTTTCACATAATCTGAACTTGTCTGCAAATATTGTGGTACCTCTAGACATTCATTTATCCAATACCAATTGATTTTTTTTCCCTTTAGCAATTTACCTTTTTCCTCTGGGAGAGACTTCAGCTGTGGAAAGAATCCCTGATTTTATCTGCATATTAAATTAAACATTTAGGCAACTTTTTATCCTGAGTCACAAAAGCTCTTTCATGCTTAACCTTCAGCACGTCTTTCGTGATTTTAGACCTATTCTAAAAAGTTAAGGTTCAAAGCAGAAAAGGATTCAGTCAGTTTGTGGTGCAACTGAATTACATTTAAACGAGATTTTTAAGTTCCATTAACCTGTTTCTATAGAACATGCACAACTGGCAGCAACGACAGAACTCAGGCACCAAGTTTCTTTACTGAACTTCTTACCTCTTGCAGCTGATCACCTTCCAGAGAGATACTGGATGGATATATTTATTTTTTTTTTAAAATATACATTTTTAATTTTTTAAAAACAATATTTGAACTTTTTTTTTTTTGCTGTAGGAAAGTTAGTGCTGCAGCTGAACAAGTAGCTCTGTGGAAAACATCTATTTTCTCTACAAACATCATACTCAATTTTGCTCCCGACTTGCAGGGATCAAAACAGTACATAAGCACATAAACCACAGATAGCAAAACTATAAATATTTATCCAAGCATTTGAAATTCTTTTTCTGACTACCTTTGTGCTTTTTACCTTTATGATATCTAAGCACCTCTATAAGAGGTAATAGGTCACAGTCATAATACATAATTCTGTTTTTAATTCTGCTATCAGAGAATTTAATGGTAAAATCACCATCTGTGCTGGGTCGGACATGCATTTTTTTTTTAATCTCCTGCTAGGGCTTTTCAAATGCCCTTCTCCTCCTGTTCCCAAATGCTAGATGTGATAATTACTTTGTGTTCTGCTGATAAATCTATGGGATGGTCAATTTTAGCTGACAGTACAACGGAGTGGTTTCATAAGTTTATACTACACAATTACTGAAGAGTTGCATTTCATCTTCAAACACGCAAATAAATCACTTCTTCAGACTGGCTGTGGCGGAGCGAGACAGAATGCCGATTAGTCATCAAACCACTATACCACGTATATTGTTTCCTAGAGGCTTTTTCAACCAGTGCTGATTCCATACTTGTTAGAAGACGGTAGGAGGAAAACTTTAAAATATAACAAACAATCCTGAATAAATAAAAGATTTCTTGCAGACTGGGTTACCTTCTTGTGTACAGACCTGTGAGAGTCACATACACTTGCTTTGCCTTTCAGACTATCTATCGAACAAGAACAAATAATTTCTTCTGACATTTCTATGTCATGGTACTGAAATCAATGTATTTTCCTAAGAGTAGCATGTCTTACAGAGAAACAGGCTGTAAGATCCATAGTCAGATCACCAGGCTATAGCCACCATGGAAAAAATAAATCTATGAACCTGAAAATCAATCTCAGAAAATTCTAATACCCGCCCCCTAGGCCCCTCCATTTCAAATATCCTCTCCAACTGTTAGCACCCAGTGTAGACTGAGACACTTAAAACAACAAATAAACATTTCTTCTTTTTTCCAGTGTAGACTTCCTCTTGTGCCTCTCACGTTTGCTAGATTAGTCACTGGCATATGACAAAAGACACCACTGCTCTCTTTTGTGCTCCCCCTGTTGCACTAGATAACTCTTGTGGCATTGTCCTTTGCATCACACATCTGCAGCTCTTTGTAGGGTTTTTTTTGGATGGCTAACAACACACATTCACATCTGCGTGAGCAGATATAGGGTTGTCCATCCTGCAGACCTTTGGAACTAGAAACATGTATAAACTTACCTGAGATTGCAAGGACAGGACTCGTCTGCATCATTCCATCTTCCAGTTGAGTAAATGGAGCGAGAAAAACGAAATCTGTCTGGGATATTCAATGTCAAGTGCAATCCTGGAATGAGCACTTTCAAATACTTCCTCTCAAAAATTAGTTTTATTTTTGTATTTCAATTTTCCATCTCAGGTTATCATTTTTCAGCTCTTTAGAAGATGATGAACTGAAATCTGAAGACACTATTCCCAGGCAGAAGCATCAAGTGTTTTGTGGCTTCATTTCCAGGCAATCTACAATGCCGAGCAATTTAGAGGGCATTTAGAAATATTGCCCAAACTATAGAGTACGTGTTCAGTTCACCCAGACTCCTATTCAGGATTACTAGCATTTGCCAGGCAATTTTACTAGCAATTATCAGTGTGGTGCACAGCAGCAGCAGTTTTAGCTAAATGGGCTTTAGAGCAAACCTTGCAATAAAAGTTATTTTCCCAGAATTTGCTTTTTCAGGATCTGCTGCATTTCCAGAAGGAGGTGCTCATGAATGAATATGGACCTTC